AAAACAGTTTTCCATATGTTCTTCCAGTATAAGCTGGTGGGTTTGTTTTTTAAATAAAGTTGGCTGTAACATCTGCAGTGCATATTCATCTCACTTTATCGATGTATTTTTAAAGTTAACTGTTTGCTTTTTACCACGCACTTTGGATCTTCCGCTTCCTCATGATACACCAGGACTCGGTGCGATAGGGGCGATTCCCGCTCCCAGTCTCCCGAAAGGTCAGGGTAGAGCTGTCCCATAAAGTCCCAGGGTGCCATCATGACTGAAGCAGACTGCCACTTTGACCTCCTGTGAAGCGGCTGGGGGTTTGAACCTCCACCTTTGCACTTTGTAGCCCAGAATTTAGCCACAGTGTCACCAAGCCCCTGACACACAACCCCCCCTATTTAGCATAAATTTCTCGAAGGAAGTCTTCTCCTTGTGTTTTCTTGGACATCTTGTTGAGTTTCTCATGTTAAGGGTGTGCTTCAAAATATTGCCGACCATGGCTGTTTCCCAAGTGTTGGCAGCTGCGAAATAATCTCACTTGGTGTTTGATTCAATTATCATGACTTTCACAAGATACAGTTTTCTTTAAACATTTTGGGCTTTGCTTTAAAACAAGAAACAAAAAAACAAAACAAAACAGATTTCCCAGAAGATCTTTGCTTCTTTTTAACTCCCTCTGCCTACAGTGTATAGTTCTGGGATTAAAAACAACCCTCCAAAATTCTGTTGTTTCCTTGATCCAAATGAGCTCAGAATTCGTAGATCAAACTTTAACGTTCTATTGTTTCATGAAGAAGAAAAAGAAACCACTTTGAAATTATGAAAAATCTAAAACACATGCTTTATAGAAATGCAAATTCGTACAAGATACCACTTCGTGTCTACTTGTCTACCCAATTACCTAAAACATATACTTTAGGGAAAATGCAAATAAATGTAGCAATGAAATCGTGGACCAAAAACTGATTATTTTTTTAGTGCCGGAGAGGCATTATTCGACATTACAAGTGGAAATGTAATTCAGCAGAAACTTCACTGAAGGCCTCATGTCAGTATGATTCCCCAGACTTCAGTCTCCCTAATTGAAACACGCATAGAACCTTTCAACAAGAAATAACTCTTTGAGAATGTTCTCTTAGAGAAACAATTGAGGATATAGCCAAAGCTTTAGCTAAATGATCATTCTTCTAGCAATTAAGCTAGAAAAGAAAGTAAACTCATTAAACGTCTGGGGGTTGAATGGTGCATCATTTCACAAACAAGCACCATGGATCTTGCTTGCTAATGCTTTGTAAACATTGTGCAGTTTGACACACAGTACGGAAGAAACGCTTATTCATTCCCTTCTTTCTGAGGCTCAGGTCTCAGGGCTGAATCCTTGGGAGGGTCATACCAGGAAGCAAGTGCTGCTTTCCTTTACCGCCTTCCCAGCTCCATTACAGGGCCAACCTGGCCGGGGGGGCGGGGTTAGTGAGGATAGCGAGGGAGGTGTGATGAAGCAAGAAAAGGAAGAGAGCGGAAAGCAGGAAGGCAGGACTCACCTGTGTGGGCTCACCACCAAGACCGCAACCAGGCTGCGGGAGAGGAAAGCGCTCCCTTGCGCCACCTTCTGATCTATACGTGTATGTGCACCAAATAGAAAGGTTTTTTCGGCTACGCCAGCCTTTTAAATAGCGGTTCTCAACCTGTGGGTCGCGACCTTTCACAGGGGTCGCCCGATTCTTAACAATAGTAAAATTAAAGTTATGAAGTAGGAACGAAAATATTCTAGCTTAGAATTTACAATGAGAAATAAACCAAAAAAAACAAATAAAAATAAATTTAAAAAAAATTTTTAACCGAAATAAACAAAAGGCACAATAGGAGAGTAGTCGAGAAGTTGTTTTATTATTAAGAAGTTTTATTGATTATTAACCTATATGAAATATTCTTCACAGTATATTAGAGGGGAAAAATAGGTTACACAGACGTGTATGTATACTGTTACAAACTCTGGGGTGGGGGGAGTATGGAATAGTGCACTTCAAGGTATGAACAGAATTCTAGGCACTGGAAATAGATACAGCAGCAAATAACACACATCAGACGCCACCCATGAGCTCTCATTCTCTCAGGGAAGGATTTGACATAAATATGTTAATAGATATACAATATCTGTCTGTTAACATACTGCTCACACACAAATGCTGGTGCCTCACGTGCTGGTGTTCGGAATGGACAAGGTGGATGGATACAGCTGGTCTTTGTTTTGTTTTTTTAATCATTTTATTGGGGGCTCATACGACTCTTATCACGCTCCATACATACATCTTGTGTCAAGCACATTTGTACTTTGTTGCCATCATCAGAAATCCCAGACGCTCTGCGGAATCAGCCTGGAAAACAGCTTCAGTGGACACCCCGTTGAATGCTGCCAAAGGGGAGGCTGTGCGAATGATTTGCCCGTAAGGGTTCAAGGAAGGCTTCCTGGGAAGGGAAGTCCACGCTGACACCTGAAAGGAGGTAGACAGCTGACCTCAGAGGGAGCTGTGTTAGACAGGGTTCTCTAGAGAGATAAAACCAAATTGCTGATAATTTAATATATTTATTGATAAAGATAATTAGATATATAACAAGGAATGAACTGTTAAATCATATACAGTTAAATATATGATACTAGAAAGAGACAGTTAAATTATAAAGCACTACAAATGGCTCAATTAAACTCACTGCCGTGAGAGAGATGTGAGAGACTAGCAGTCCTTCCAGTCCAATCTGCTGCCAGGTCTTCCTCTATTTATAGAGAGAGCTAGGCTATGTCAGCACAGCAGCCAATCAGAAGGCAGGTCACCAACTGCCAATCAGGTCACCAACTGCCAGTCCCCAGCTCCAGCGATCTCTTAAAGGGACCTCAACTTACAGCGACACAGTCCACAGGCTAGGCGTCCCACAGGCAGTGTAGCCTTTAAATTGAGGCACGGGACAAGCAAGGCAGCCGCACACTGGTCCGATGATCAAAGAGCGAGAGACAAGAAAGGCGAGACTCACCAAGGCATTTATCTCTCTGCCCTTCAGTTAATCCCACTTGTGTTTATCGGCCAGGCTGGCACAATAAACTATTTCAGAGCGTTCCAGAGAAGCCATCAAAGGTTTGAAGGCAGAAAAAAGAATGGAAGGTGGGAGAGCAGATAGACAGACTGGCTAGATAGTAAGAGCCACCAACAAAATGATCTTTAATAAAAAATGTGATGAAGAAACTAGATGGTGCCCAGCTATCAGAAAGAACAGATTTTGGGGCCTTAAAGGCTTGCCTTCAAACAAGCAACCATCGAAGTGAGACATCAACTAAGCTCACATGGAAGAAGAACACCAGCCTGTGTGATCCAAAGATTGTACATAATAGAATCCAAATCCAAAGGAGGGAATGGTATACAAGCTTAAATTGTGAGCACTTGGTGTGCAGAAGGTTATGGGTGACAGTGGAACTTCAAAATCCATTTGCAGTGTCCACACATAGATTAAGCTTGGATTCCCTCTGACCATAGTCAAGGGATGTGAATAGCCTTCTTATCAGACAGAGAGCATTGTAAAGTCGATTATGATAGATATAGTTAGAGTAAAACATAATGTTTTATTTGATCTTCCTTTCGACCCATCTAAAAGTTGTTTCAGTTAAAAAAAGTGCAGATTAAGATCAGGTGAATCTCCTCTGAGCATAGATCGGGATGTGAATAGCCTTGCTCATGGTCAGGTTAAAATTTCACACTTTATGGTTTGCTCTCCCTTTGACAAACTTTAAAGTTGTTCTAATTTTTAATGTTTTCTGCTTCTTCGCCGTTGAGGTCTTTCTCTGTTTTACTTTGTTACTATTGCTAGTTTGGGTTGTTGTTTGCTTGCTTTTTGTATGTTTTCCTGAACATGAAATCCAGAACAGGTAAGTCTATAGAGACAGTAACTGGATTAATGGTTTCTTGTGGGTCTGGCAGGGGAGGTTGGGAGGAAATAGGGAGCTAATAGCAATGAGTGCAAGAAAGAAGAAAATGCTCTAAAATTGATTATGGTGATGATGGTACAGTTCTTCTTGATATGACTGAACTATTGAATTGTATGATATGTGGATATGCGCCAATAAAACTTTTTTAAAAGAAAAGCATATGCAACTCGGGGAAAACAATCATTATGGCTAAAGAAATTAATATAGTGTACGTTATCAATAGCGCAAAGAAAAAGTCTTAGAGAAATCCATTTGTGCCCAAATGTACTATTCTCTTAGGTGTTTTCCTAAACACATATATATGATTTTAATATTCAGAAATCACTATATAATATTTAAATGCATACATAAGAGGTGTGTTTAGAGACAGACAGTACAGCCTCATGGCTTAGAAGTCACCAACCATACTAATGATTTGAGAGAGGTGTAGGCGGCTATACAGTGGAGGAAAAACTCCAGACTCAACAATGAGCTCTAGGTGAGACTGAAGGGACTCGGAGTGGTTATTCTGATTTCCTGGTAACAGTTTGACTTGTAGTTGGAGCAGCACTAAAGGAAGCTCTGCCGACCCTTTGACAATAGAACATAAATTTCCCAATTGGCAGATAAGTTTCACCTAGACTTGTACAATGAATAGATATGCATTCTTTTGCATGTCTAATTCTGTTATTTGCATATCATTTAAACACCAAAGTCATGCTTCTATGAATTTTGAGCCACACTGGTTACATTCAACAAATGAGGTGAACAGCCTACTTGCTCTCTTGTCTCCCTTAACTAAGTGAGGTTCCACTGAGGGGCTTCCCAGAGACCCGGGGCCTCCCATGGACTGCTTCATCTTCATTGTTCTAAGCCACAAAGGGGAGTTGTGAGCCATGATGGCGAAGGTTTACTAAATTCTATGACTTGATAATCTTCTCCCATCAAGGTAAAAATTTGACAAGTTCTGTGTCTCATAAGGAAGAGTGAACACTCTTGGAATATCAATTATTTTCACTCCCAAGTTTCATGAAAAATAATTATCTTAAAAATAAATGTCCAGCTTCCCTGGCAGGAGAGACACCATGATCACGAAGATGGTTTTCCCAGGGCGAGGCTTATCCATTGCACCGCAGGTGGGCTGACTCCTGCGATTTCCCTGAATGTGGGAAACTCCACTGCATAATTTGTGGTAGTGGGGGACTGCGTTCGCGCTCTCCCCTAAAAAAAGAAAGAAAAGTAAAATAAATGTCCAGAGCTGCTTTCACGCTGTAGGAAGTGGAAGAGACATCACCTCCCTTCTTCTATGTTTATCTTCTGCTTGAGAAAGCATCTGGAGGGAGCGTAGGCTGTGAAAGGTGGGGTCTGCCAAGGCCTGCTCTGGAAAGACAGCAGATAAAGTACCGTATATATTCGTGCATAAGCGGAGTTGTTCATCACGTTTTTCATGCAGTTTTTGTGGTAAAATTAGGTGCCTCGGCTGAGATTTGGGTCAACTTATACTCGAGTACATACGTCGATTGTGGATTTGTAGTGGGAAAAGGAATGGGTGGACGTGTCAGTGGAAGGGGATTTCGCTCTTTCTTAAAACATCTGTTCATCAGCTTTCTTGAGGTCATTCTGTTTCATGACAACACCATGCATTAATCACTAGGTTTTCAGAAGTAGATTTTGAGGCTTTTCTTCTGAAGTGTCTCTCAAAAACAAACTAAATTCAAAAACCAGCGAACTCCCTGCCATCCACCCTATTCTGACTCATTGTGGACTTATACCACAGGGCAGGGTAGAATGGTCCCTGTACATTATTGAGACTGTAACTCTTTCTTATATTAGAACGCCTCATCTTGGAGCATGACTGGTGGTTTCAAACTGATGACCTTGTGGTTCGCAACCCAACTTGTAATCCACTACACCACCAAGCTCCTGAAGTGCCTCTGGGTGGCTTCATAACTCTAACCTTTTCCTTAGCAGTCAAATGTCATTTGGACCACTGAGGACTCCACAGGGGCACCATCATCTCCACGGTACCACCTCATACCCAAACTCATCCCCAGCTAAAACCATCTCAGTAAAAACTGTGTGTCTAAGCAAAGATGACTTCAAGGACTGTCGCCAGTTCCCAATGAGACCGCTCTCCCAAAGCCCCTGCTGTATGTGGCTTCAGACCCTTACTAGCTGAAGAAGAAAGGGGTAGGAGCCCCGAGGGGGCAGAAGAGCTTAAACTGGAGAAAGAGCAAGATAGCAAGGAAAGCAGGCCCTAGACCCACCGCAGGAGGGCAAAGCGCAACGTAAAGGAAAGATGAGAATGGAAATGTCCCGTGGCAGAGAGTTGGCCACAGGACCTTGAGGAAGGAGGGTCTGATACTCAGCTTAAAGTTGTTTTCTGATGCAGGCTATGCTGTCACTCGCCTTTACCATTTTCCCAGACCTTCAGCAAAAGCCTAAAACAAACAATTGTTTTGTGTTAGTGGTGTTTGGGGAAACGAAACACGAGGGTTGTTTCCCATTGGGGTGAAGTGATAACAAAGAGGGCTGGGGAGGCAGGAGTGCGTTAGTCTCGGTAGATTAGAGAAACAAATTCCTAGACACTCATATGTGTGCGAGGGAAGTTCTTTTTTGGTAAGAGAGAACTTTATATCAAAGAGGAATTGTACATTAAGAAAACATCCCAGCTCAGTCCAGATCACATCCATAAGTCCGATATTAACCTATATGCCTGATACCAATCTATAAATTCCTCTTCAGACTCATGCAACACATGCAATGATGCTGAATGCAAGAAGATCACAGGCCAGTGGGTGGAAAGTCTTGTGGATTCAGTGGTGGTGGGAGCTTCGTAGTGCTGGAGTGGGTCTCTATGTGGCTCTTCCAGCTCCAAGGCTCTGGCTGCATCAGTATAGCTCCATGTGGCTTGTCAACAGGAATGTCTCCCAGGGAGTGAGTGTGTGTTCCGCCTCCAGTGAGCTATTTATCTCCTTAGTGCCTCCAAAGGAGGCACTGATCGACAGGCTAAGCTCCACCCCTTCACCCTTAATAGTCTCAAGTTGACAACAGCTTATGTAACTACCACAAGGAGGCTAGTTGAGAAGCAGGAGTTCCCAGAAGCAACCAGAGTGAGAGGCAACTTGAAGACTCTAAGCCAACACTCCTTGCCATACGCTTTCATCCTCTACTGTAACTCTCATTCACTGCCCACACACTCACCCATGTCCACAAACACATATACACATACCAAGTCACACATACACCACACATACATATACACACACAGTTCACACAATTCTCAGAAACGCTGGAAGAAGTCAGGATTTTTCATATGAGTTAAGGGCACAGATTCGTCATTTAATTTGGAGATAATAGGACAAGGCATTTGAAGATTGATGAATGGCTTTTATTTTATGGAATGATAGAAATTCCAGTTAAATTAGTGAAAGAGAATTTCAGTTGACTGAACTGTTTCTCTCTAAAAGAGGGTAATAGTTCCCCTTGCCATCAAAATAATCTATCCAGTTGTTGGCAACATTTTCAACAAGTTCACCTTCTATTTTAACCACTTGTTCAGTCATCGGAGTTCATTTACACCTGTATTCCCGAGCGCTCTTAATCTGACCAGATCTTCAGCTCCACAGATGCTGGTCCCCTAAATCCTTCCTGAGATTTCCTCCCTGAAGGAGTCCAAAGAAGTACCTGTCCCACCCACATGGGCCATCCATCTCACCTTACTTGTCAGGAGATGCTGCCATTTAAATATCCGAATGTCAGCATTGGATATGTCATAAACTCCCCACCTGAAGTGCTGAAAACCAGGGAGACAGCTTGTGGCTCTCAGAGAGGACAAAGGCCAGAGGTGGTTGGGGTTGAGAATCTGTCTTTTATCCTGCCTTGCTGCTCAGGGGCCCAATCGTCACAGCACCTAACATCTCTACTATCTTCCTTTGTCTCTACCCCTTCACCCCTACAGGCTGAAGAAAGGTGCAGAGCCTCAGTGTGTATTCTCACTGCACTGATACATCTAAAAACACAGCTCAACATACGAGACCAGAATATGATGCCAGGAAACCAGACTTTTTTTGGTTATTCCTGAGTATAATAACATTACATTGAAAAAGGTGAAGAAAAAAGTATTCTATTAGCAACAGGTAGAAGAACTCCCCCCTTGCCTTTGTTATGAAAATGCTATTTCTATCTGAGGAAGAAGTTGGGTCAGAGGTAGTTTCAGTCACCTCATATGCATGTGAAATTTGGACGTGAATTAGGAAGATGGAAGGCAAATCGATGTATTTGATGCATATACATTAGGGCTCTAGGGAAGAACATTAAAAGTACCGTGGGCTGCCAAAAGAACAAGCCAACCTGTCTTGGAAGAAGTACAGCCAAAGTGCTCCTTAAAAGCCAAGCTGGGGAGACTTCATCCCATGTACTTTGGACATGTTGGAAGGAGAGACCAGTCCCTGTAGAAGGACCTCAGGGTTGGTAGAGGGTCAGCGAAGAGGAGGAAAGCCCTCGACGAGGCAGATTAACACCCTGGCTGGGGTGATAGACTCAAGCATGAGGATCCGGGTGAGCCTGGCACAGGGCAGGGCAGAGCTTCGTTTGTTATACACAGGTGTGCTAAGGGTCAGGACTGACTTGATAGCACCTCACAACGATAGTCTAGGGCATACAAGTTGAGACCCTGGAGCAAGCGTGTGTTCTCTGGGTGGAAAATCAGTTGGTTATTGAAAAGATACAGAAACTTGTAAGGAACAGGTAAGGACAACCTCACCATTTTGAGAGGTTTCATGTGCAAGAGCTGGAAGAAAGAAGTTTGCTCTATCCAGCAGGCACATTTATGGGAAGAAGAAAGAAATGCCCCTTATCTGTTTTCAGACAGAGTGTAGGGATTCCTGAAAATGGCATCATAAATGTGCTCCTGCAAAGAAGAATCAATTCCCCCCTCGGGACAGAGTAGCACCCTAACCATCCTAACTGCAACCAAGCCCATGTCATAAAAACAGAACCCCCAGACAAAGTTCTAGAACCATTTCCAAAATTTATTCCTCAAGTTCTATAAAACAGACGTAAATGCAACATATACACCATAAGATAAAAGGCCCTCACACACTATCAAGTGTAGTAAAAAACAACTAGTCTGCACTAAATGTAACCTGTGTTATGCACTAAATGTAGTCTGCACTAAAGGTAACCTGTGTTATGCACTAAATGTAGTCTGCACTAAATGTAGTCTACACTAAATGCAGTCTGCACTAAATGTACTCTGCACTAAATGTAACGTGTATTATGCACTAAATGTAGTCTGCACTAAATGTAGTCTGCACTAAATGCAGTCTGCACTAAATGCAATATGCGTTAACTCTAATAGACACCAATGACACACTTAATTGGTAGTCATTTTGCGTTCTTAGCACCTGAGTAAGGAGCTCTGGTAATGTAGTGGTTAAGCCTTGGGCTGCTAACTGCATGGTCAGCAGTTCAAAACCACCAGCTGCTCCTTGAGAGAAAGACAGGACTTTCTACTCCTGTACAGAGTTACAGCCTCAGAAACTCGCAGAGCCAGCTCCACCCTGCCCTATAGGGTCACTGTGAGTTGGCATGGCCTCAATGGCAATGAGTTTGGTTTGGGTTATGGCATACCTAAGGCACCCGGTGATGCCGGGGGGTGAGGGTGGGGGTATGAACTGGGCTGCTACCATCAAGATCGGTGGTTCACCCCCAGGCCGGTCTGTGGGAGAAAGGTGAGGTTGCCTGCTCCTTTTAATATTTAAGTCTTGAGCATGAGGTGTCCATGGGATCAGATATCAAGCATCTATGACCCAGAATAAAACCATACCCAAGGTGAATGGGGGGGTGGGGGGCAGAGGGGCATGGAGTGGAGACCCAGTGCCTATCTGTAGACAATTGGACATCTCCTCACAGAAGGGTCACAGGGAAGAGATGAGCCAGTCAGGGTGCAGTATAGCACCGATGAAACATACAACTTTTCTCTAGTTCTTTAATATTTCCTTCACCCCACTATCATGACCTCAATTATACCTTACAAAGCAGATTAGCCCAGAGCATGCACACTGCTACAGATAAGAGCCCCCAACACAGCGAATCCAGGATAGATAAACCCCTCAGGGCCAACAATGAGAGTAGAGATACCAGGAGGATTAGGGGAGGGTGAGGGGAGAAAGGGGGAAATCGATCACAAGGATCAATCTAGAACACCCTCCCAGGGGGGA